CGACGTCTTGGATGGGGCCTGGATGGGTGGGCTCACCTCCTCCTTCACCAGGGCGTAGCAGGACGGGCACTCCTGACAGTGTGTGCCACCGGCCGTGACGAAGAAGTTTTCCTGACAGTGATCACACTTGTACCCCACGAAGCCGGGCCTGCACGAGCACGTGCCGTTCTCATAGCATTGTGCCGAGGCGGCCCCCACCGGGGAGCACCTGCAGGCTGGGGGGACCGGGGCAGGTGGCGCTGAGGGCCCTCACGTCAGAACCGCCAGGTCCCCTGCATCCTCACAGCTGGCTACTCCAGACCCCCCCGCACCCCGCCAGAGGTTCAACCACATTCCTGAGTCCTTCCTGGGAGACTGAGTCAGAAGGTCGGAGGTGACAGCTGACTTATTTCAGTGTCCCTGGGTCTGAGAACCTGCCATGTTTAGGAACTGCCATGCCATCCGGTCATACGAATATGGAAACCAAGGCCCAGAGAGGTGACCCGATGGCCTCAGCACAGAGGAATTTAGCAGTGGAGCCTGGGACTCGATTTTTGGTCCCCTACACTCCCTCCCTCCATATTTCTATGGCTGCTCTTAGAAGACAGGCCTCCACCCGATCCTTTACTCTCTTGCCACGTGGCTGGTGGCCCCTCGTTGCCCAGAGACCTCAGGCCCCACCTTCTGGGTGGCCGGGAAGCACCCAGCTTCCTCACCTCGGCATCCCTTGATGGAGAAGCCGAAGAAACCCAGCTGGCATCTGTCGCAGGCCTGGCCCTCAACGCCTGGACGACAGGGGCACTGCCCGGTCTTGGGGTGACACCGGTCCTCCTGGGAGCCCAGTGGGTGACACTTGCAGCTATGACAGGGGAAGGGACCGGGTCTGAGACAAGCGGCCGGGACTGCAGATCACATCCTCTGCACACCAGGCCCCATCTCGAAGTCCGTACATGTCAAACAGCTTTCCCCAAGCTGTGCCCCCGGGGAAGCACAGGCTCACAAAATGCCACTCCTTCCCCTCCCCACAGAGGCTATGGGGACATATAAATCTTGGAGACTATACCCCTCTGTTGGGAAGTCACAATGCAACTAGCATATTAAAGGCTCTGAGGAGTCTTGCAAGGAAGAAACCTGTTTGTTTCACCGGGCATTTCCCTGGAGCCCTCCACTGTTCCCCAGAGGCACGAAGGGGCTGTTGTGGCCAAAAAGTTCACCAAGCAACAGCGTCACTGAGAAGGGAGACAGAGAGCAAACCGGCCCCCCCTGGCCACCTGGACATCCCTTAGGGCTGTTCTTGGCCCACATCCTGGGTTGGCAGGGCCACGAGTCTGACCCCCAAGGGACCATCCCTTTGTCCCCCTTTGGTACAGGGCACGGTGTACCTGGCGGGGAGCCTGGGATGGCACATTCCAAGCCAGATCCCTCTCTGGAGGCTGCCCGGGACGCCCTCCATCCTGGAGACACTCCCAGGGAGAAGGGCGCCCACAGCCTCACCCCACTCACCTCCGGCAGCCCCTCCCGGGCCGGAGGTCATAGAAACCGGGGCTGCAGTGGCTACAGTCCCGTCCCGTCACATGAGGCAGGCAGGTGCACTGGCCGCTCGCCGGGTCGCAGGGTCTCTGCTCACTGACTGAACCCCCCGGGTTGCAGCTGCAGGCTGGGGGTGGAAGCAGAAAACGGTGTTGGGGAACCAGGCAGATCGCCATCCAACCTTTGGGGGCCCAGGAGAAGATGGGGCGCACACAGAGATGACTCACATTCGGCCCAGACGCCTAAGCTGTTTCTGGAAAAAGGCTCTAGGGCCGGGCTCAAATCGCAACCCATCTCCTACGTCCTTGGAGAGACAGCCTAGAACCATCATGGAGGCAGAGGGCTCTTCTGAGCCTGCCCTGAACCCCCGCTGGCTGGAGAGAAAGCCAGAGACTTGGCCAGGGAGTCGTGGGTGGACCTCTGTACCCACTGTCTCGGGTCACTTGACCCTGCCCTCCTGGGCTCCATAAAACAAGAGGCCGGCAGGGTGCCGATAGGTGGCACGTGGAGAAAGGGTTCTGGAGCAAGTAAGTTTGGGGGAAATGCTGAACTTCTCCCTGAGCATTTCTGGAAGCCCTCCACGGGCCGAGGTATGGCCCTCTGAGTGGGGACAGAGGGCTGAGGGTGAACCCAGGCGGCGGAGAGGAACACCCTGATGGGAGCCCGGGGGGGGGGGGGTGCAGCACAAATGTGCTGAGTGCCGTGGCCATGGAGGTCCGTCATGGGCGCTAACTGCGGAGCTGGAGGTAAGTGCTAAATCATCAAGGCAAAAAATAAATAAATAAAGCACAGGCTCAGTTGATTAGATCAAGGCTGAGAGAGCCCTTGGAGGAGAGCAAACCCTTACCACACCTTTCAGACAAAGAAACAGAGCAGGTGAGTAATCTGCCTAAGGTTGCACAGCCCCGTGGAGTTGATGGCTAGAGCTGGCGGAGAGGGGTCCCACCACGCGCCCCTCACCGTGGGTCGGGAGGTGGGTACTCACGCGTGCATTTGTCTGCGGGCCGAGGGGCCAGGGCGCTCCCGTAGAAGCCTTCCTCGCAGCGCTCACAGTGGGCACCTGTCGTGTTGTGCAGGCAACGCAGGCAGCGGCCAGACTGGGGGTCACAGTTGCCCACGGCGTTGGGGTCTACGTTCCCACTGCACTGGCACCGCCGGCAGGGCTGGGGGGCCCCAGAGAGCCCCAGAGGGTCCCCAAAATAGCCGTCATCACAGATCTCACAGCGCCGCCCTGGGGAAGGGAGGGGGCTGCACGTGGAGGCGCAGGCCTGAGGGAGGGGGCTGCTGGGTCTCCACAGGGGTGGGGGGGGGAGGGCGGGCGTGAACCAAAGCGAGCGGCCCTCGCGTCTCCTTGTGGATCAGAGCGAGGGCCCCAGGGCCAGGGCCCAGCTCAGCCATCAGCTGGCTGTGCGGTCTAGGGCAAGCCCCTGGGCCTCTCTGAACTCCGGCTCCTCATCTACAAGGCGGGGACAGTAATGCAGCCGCCGCGGAGGACCGGGGAGAGGGCTTGGTGAGATAATTTGTGCAAAGCTCTTAGCACAGCTCCTGGTGCGACAACAGTAGTGGCCGTCACTGCCTGCTCATTGTCGTCACCCTCCTTGTCACCCCGCCAGCCATCCTCTTCGCCAGTGAGGCCCTCGGGGTGTTGGTGGGATGAGGGGGGCAGGGCTGGCGCCCACCCAGGCGACCTTCCCAGGGGTTGTTTTCTCTACACACAGCAGTGCCCTGCTCCCCCCACCCCCAAATCCCCCTCAAGCACCTCTCCGCCTGGGCCAGACTGAACTTCTCTAACTTTCCACATCCACCTCGAGTCTGCAGACCAGGGGAGCCAGAAAATGTGGGGAAGGTTATGGAACAGAGGCGCAGCGTGACGGCAGGGTGGGGTGCAGGGTCCTCCCGTCTTGGGCCCCCTGCCCCCTCGCTGCTGCTGGCCCCAGGGGGAGCTGCTTTCAGAGCGGTCCCCTAGCAAAGCAGGCACGTGATAGGACCAAACGGACCTCAGGGCCACCGGACACAAAATCAGATGTCTGAGAACCTTGGAAACATTGATGTCAAGTGAAATAAGCCAGTCGCAGAAGGACAAACATTGGATGGAAGTCACTTGTACGGGGTCCCCGGAAGAGTCAGATACAGAGAGACAGGAAGTAGGATGGTGCTTATTAGAGGCTGTGGAAGGGGGGTGGGGGTTGGTTCCGATGACAAATTTTATGTTACATATTTTTTGCCATAACTTAAGAGATTAATAATGGAGTATGCCCCCCCCAAAACACGTGGAGTTGTAGAGGCGGGTGGATTGTAGGGTATGCGAATCCTGTCTCAAAAGAGCTGTAAAAGAACCAGATGTCGAGGCTGGCCCTGGGTCCTGGAGTGGGGGGTGGGACAGTTTCTGCCTTATACAACATCTGGCAACGTATTTTAAAAGCTCAGAGTGTAATCAGAGATCTTCCTCCTTCACTGCGTATCAGAATTAGCCAGAGCACCTGTTATGAATACAGATTCTCAGGTTCTGTGTCAAGCTAGCAAGCCGGGCTCCATGGGGCCAGGGCCCAGATGGGGGTTTTCAAAAACTCTCCTCGGGGCGCCTGGGTAGCTCAGCTGGTTAAGTGTCCGACTTGGGCTAGGTCATGAGCTCGCGGTTCGTGGGTTCAAGCCCCGCGTCGGGCCCTGTGCTGACAGTTCGGAGCCTGGGGCCTGCTTCGGAGTCTGTGTCCCCCTCTCTCTCTGCCCCTCCCCGGCTCGCGCTCTGTCTCTGTCTTTCTCAGAAATAAACATTAAAAAAAATTTTTTTTAAAAAGAACTCTCCTGGAAATGCTCAATGGCTCAAGTTCTGCCAGGGACCTATGGCAGCCGGGAGCCCTGGCCATGTTCTGAGAGGTCAGGCTAAGCTGGGCCTTCCCCAATCTGTCACACTCCAAACCCAGGACCCCGCTCCTAGAGCCCAGGACAGAAGCAGAGCCCCTGAGCATGAGCCACTCACCTCTCTGGCCCGGGGGACAGTGGGTGCACACTACCTCCCTGCTCTCTGGGATGGCTGTGCAGGCCGACTGTCCAGGGCACGGACAAGGCTGACAGTCATCGGCTCGGCCTCCGAAGGGGCTGCCATAGAAACCTGGCAAACAGCGCTCACAGGACGGGCCCTCGGTGTGGTGGTCACACAGGCAGATCCCTGTGGGGCAAGAGAAGCACCTGGTTATGACTGCCCGAGCCCAGAATGCTCCAGAGACGGGGAGCATCTTGGTGGTCGGGCTCACAAGGCACATCCCCATGCAGAACTGAGGTGGAAACCTTCCAAGGTGGAGGCAGTTTGGCCTGGGGGTAAGAAAGTCCACCCTGGGTTCACGCCCACCACGTACTGACCCTGTGAAGCTGGGAAAACCATCTAACGCCCCGTGTCTCAGTGACCTCACCTACAAGATGGCCAGGACAATGGCCCTGATCGCAAGGGTCTTTCTTTGTCAGGATTCAGCAGGATCATGCAGCCAGAGTACCTTGCATAGTCCCTGGCACCCAGCACGATCATTACTGTTACCGTTAGTATTTTGTTCTTTGAAACCTATAGCTGAACCAACAGATGACCTATCTGTGTTCCCACTCATGGTTTTCCTGCCCTTTCCTCTGTGGCCTCTTAACCTCAGGGGCCAAAAGACACAGACCCCTGGGGACGCGTGGGTGGCTCAGTCGGTTAGGCATCCGACTCCGGCTCGGGTCACGATCTCACGGTCGGTGAGTTCGAGCCCTGCGTCGGGCTCTGTGCTGATGGCTCGGAACCTGGAGCCTGCTTCGGATTCTCCATCTCCTCTCTCTGCCCCTCCCCCCGCTTGCACTCTGTCTCTCAAAAATAAACAAACATTAAAAAAAAAAAAAAAAAAAAAAAAAAAAAAAAAAAGAGCCACAGAGACCCGGGAGTCTGTTCCCAACATGATTTTGCAAAGAACAGGTTCACAGAAGCTGGCTGGTCTCATAGAACAGGCCCCGCCCTCCACTGGTTTCTCATGCTGGGGGATCTGCAAACCCCCTTCTCCAGCACCTGCACAGAGCCTGTGCCCTGGGGAAGGGAGGCCCCACTGCCAGGGCCTGAGTGAGGAGCCTGGCTGAGAAGGGCCCAGGGAAGCAAGATGCCCACCTCACCCCCCGCCTTCTGGGAGGCCCCGCAGCACTCAGCTGGGGCTGAGGTGAACAGGAAAAAGAGAATTCGGGGTAGACAAGTGAAACAGGGGGACCATTATGCCTGTGCTGCCTTCTACTGGTCCCTGACTCAGCCCAGATCCACACGCTCACTCCTTCTTCTCTCTAGCATGAGCAGCAGTGGCCACTCGGCCCATTTGACAGATGAGGACTTGCCCAAACTGAGCAGGAAGTCATGGGACGGCCGAGGGTTCTGAGGGATGACAGACTGGCCCCATGCCAGGCCTCCTTGGTCGGGGCGACCTGGACCAGCACGTGTTAGGATTACGAGGCCTCATCTGGGCTCGATTTGTGATGCCTGCCATGGCCAAGGAGGGGAGGAAGCCCCTCATGGACCGTGTGCCTGTCCCGACTGGCCAGGCCGCCGATTCCCAGGCTGCTGTCCTTTGTCTGCTCCAGTGTGGAGCCTGAGAGATGCTGAGCTTGCATTACCCTCCTCAGGGACCCCACCTGCTCCAGGAGGGCAGCGGGGCGCTGACCCTCTCGCTTCCGGTGTGAGAGGCCCACGGTGTGGAGAGAGGCCAGGGTCCGGCCCCCGTCCAGCACCTCCCACCTAGTGACCTGGGTCGAAGGCTCTCTCTGCGTTTCCTCTGCTGCTAGTGGGGTAAACAGCTGGCCGTAACCTTGCAGCGGGAGCAGCTCTGCCACCTGCTGGCCGTGCCGGCTCCCTGCGCCTTGGGTCCCTAAACTGTAAGACGGGTAATTGCAGGAATCAATGACACGGCGTGTAGAAAGGTGCCCGGCAGGGCACGCGGAGGAACTCGGGGACACCATTTTAGTAGTGTCGCCCTCGGTGATCACTCACACATGCACACGGCTGACCCCGTTCGGGTCAGCACTCACCTGCCGCGCTGGGTGTATAGCCTTAGGTGGCTTTCGGGTGGGGTGCCAGGACTCACCTGTGTGGGGGTCACAGGTGCCATGCTGGTTGCAGGTGCAGGGGACACAGCTGGTATAGGGACCCCCCAGTGGTGTCTCCCTCTTGTATCCTGGAGCGCAGGATTCACAGAACTGGCCTGTGTACCCTTTGGGACATGAGCAAGTCTCTACCCAGGAGGCTGGTGGGGAGAGCCCCCGCTGGGCTGACGTGAGCCGGACCTCAGTCAGGAATACCTGGCCTGCGGAACGAGGACAGAGGGGAAGACAGTTACAGGCACACATTTCCCCCCCAAGACCTTCCTGTTCATACATGTAACAAGCAAAGGCTTATTGGCTCACAGATAAAAGGCAGCCTATGGGTCGATTATGATTTTTAAAAAGCAGACAAAGGAAAAATAGCAGTGTTTTAAATTTATTTTTTTATTAAAAAATTTAAAAAAATGTTTATTCATTCTTGGAGAGATCTGAGCTGTCAGCACAGAGCCCGACGCGGGGCTCGAACCCACGAACTGCGAGATCATGACCCGAGCCGAAGTCCAACGCCTAACCGACGGAGCCACCCAGGCACCCCCAAATAGGTAGTTTTTAATTTAGTTTTGTTTGTTTGATTGTTTTTTGAGAGAGAGTGAACAGGGGAAGGGGCGGAGAGAGAGGGAGAGAGAGAATTCCAGGCAGGTTCTGCGCTAACGGCATGGAGCCTGACGCGGGGCTTGAACCCATGAGCCATGAGGTCACGACCTGAGCCGAAATCAAGTTGGACGCTTAACCAACTGAGCCACCCAGGCGTCTCTTAAAGAGGGATTTTTTGAGAACAAGAAATGGATATGGCTGGGAATTTTCTGGAAAGCCATTCATTCTCACAGCTTATCAGATATGTACATTTAAACAACCGTACCATTCATAACCCTCCGATTGGTAAGCATTTCAAGATCACGGACAGGGAAAGACAGTGTGGGGGACCCATGCCCAGGGATATAGGACTATAAATTAGGGGGCTCTGCTTTTAGTGAAGAGCGGTAGCTCCTATCAGGCCAACCCTCGCGCCAGAAAACAACTAGAAACTCAGGGCAAAATGTAACAACTATCCATTAACAACCAGAGCAGGTGGGCAGTGGAGAAGGGCGGACGCGTGTCCTGAGAACATAGATCGGTGCAGCATGTATCAAACGTGCACCCTTTGACCCAACACCTCACATTCCCACGTTGAGGGATCTGTGCTAAAGACAGACGCGCCCAAGGAGACAAAGACCCTTCCGTATTCCCTGTTCTCGGCAGCACCGTATGCATAGTGGAAACGTGGAAACCGTTTCAACATCTACAAACAGAGGGACGGTTGAAACTCGGGAGCATCTATATTGCGGAACGATACGCGGTGGACGGACAGCCAGCCTTTTTCTACGTGTAGGACAGGTGACAGCCCCCAGGACACACGTTAGCTGAAAAAAGCAAGCGGCACCACATCAGACTGTGTGAGGCGTTAAAAAGCACAGATGTAAACACACACACACACACACACACACACACACACACACACACACACACCGTAAGACCGTGCATGCAGAAAGATGTGGATGAATACAGCCCAGAGCGTCATCCAGCCTGCGGCTGGGCAGGCGGGGAGAGGGAGGGTCAGTACGTCCACCTGCCGCTCCAATTCACCCCAGCACCCAGTGCGGGCCTGGCCTAAGCAGGTGCTTCGAAAACATCTGTTAACGAAGGCTCAGTGACAGAAGGAAGCGGGAGAAGCTGCTGGAAAGAGTGGAAATGAAATGCCTCCGAGGAGCCTCAGCAGGGCGACCTGGGGAGTAGGGAGGCTTTGGGGAGCGTGGGCAAGGCTGATGGGGATAGAGCTCCAAAGAGAAAGAGGGGGCTGAGGCAGGAAGGGCCGGCTTATAACCCCCGAGTCTGACTTGAAGGGGCCCGGGGAAAGCTGGCCATTTAAGCGAAGCGTTCTCTAAAGGAGCCAGTCACTTCCCCGCCCTAGAAGGAAATCTGTGGCTGTTCTGGTCATCACGATGATGGGGAGACAAGGGTCAGGGGTATTAGACATCTGACATGAGCAGAAGCCCCCCCGTGACTTTCAGAGGTCTTGCTGGATGCTGAAAAGGCAGGGAAACACCTCCGCAAACATCTGAACCCCGACTCCCACTCCATTTTACACACGAGCACAGGGCATTTTTGAATGGTGTAGGTGCATATCGGATTGTCTAGCCATGCGGGTACCCCGAACGCGGGGGGAACCCCGGGCTTTGTCGTGCTCAGAGTTTTTCACCGCTTTGGAAAATCGTGCCCCCTAGTGGCCCCCCAGCTCTTGAAGTCTGTCGCCAGTGTGCACCCCGTCCGTGCTCTGGTCCCCCTCAGTGACTGCCCTGCTCACAGTGATCTGACAAATAGTCCCATTTAGTGATGACTTCAAAATGACACACACAAAGGGTTTTAAGGAACAAAGGTCAGTCCTATTCAGATGGATGTCTGAAACTTGGTTTCACAGCTTCACCCACAAATGGACGGTTACTCTGCCAACGTGTTTTTCCCGTAACGCAACAACGAAAGCGCCAAGGCTAAGTCAACCTTCTAGAAGAACCGCATCGACCAAGCCAGCACTAGTCACAATTTCCCTGCTCGCTGCCTCTGCAAATGCCTTCTGAGCTTCAGTTGCTCCAAAACCCACAGTTATTCACCACAGTGGGGGCAACTCTGATTACCTCATTATGTCCTCCAGTATGGTCATGGCTGAGCACCGACACTCTGGAATTCAATGATTGTTTTTGTACGTCGTTTACTTTCTTTTTATTTACTCTGTCTGTTACAACTAGGATACTACACTGGTTTGAAAACATTGTGTCTGTGTAAGTTATGATATCTATAAAAATTTCATCTCTAGGGGCGCCTGGGTGGCTCAGTCGGTTATGCGTCCGACCGGCTCGGGTCACGATCTCGCGGTCTGTGAGTTCGAGCCCCGCGTCGGGCTCTGGGCTGATGGCTCAGAGCCTGGAGCCTACTTCCGATTCTGTGTCTCCCTCTCTCTCTGCCCCTCCCCCATTCATGCTCTGTCTCTCTCTGTCCCAAAAATAAATAAATGTTAAAAAAAAAATTTAAATTTCATCTCTAAATGGTAAAGGGGTGTTGTATGTGAAACACCTGTTTTGATTTTCTTTTTAAAGTTTATTTATTTATTTTGAGAGAGAGAGAGTGAGAGAGTGAGCAGGGTAGGGGCAGAGAGAGAGGGAGAATCCCAAGCAGGCTCCACACTGTCAGCATGTAGCCCAACACAGGGCTTGAACCCATGAGCCTTGAGATCACGACCTGAACCGAAATAAAGAGTTGGATGCTCGGGGCGCCTGGGAGGCTCAGTCGGTTAAG